TCTCTCTCTCTCTCTCTCTCTCTCTCTCTCTCTCTCTCTCTCTCTCTCTCTCTCTCTCTCTCTCTCAGCTTTCAGGAGTTTTTCTAGCAAAGAGCTGTAGCCAGGCATCCTGTCACAGGTCTGTAATCCCAGCAACCTAGGAGCTGAGGCAGGAGAATCACAATTTTGAGGCCAGCCTGGGCACCTTAGAGAGTCCCTGAATTCAATTCCCAGTAAATAAGGGGGAAAAGAGAGATAAAATTAAGCGCTTATTTCTACTGGTGTGGGACCTCATGGAAGTCATGCCTGATTGTCTTTTTATTCATTCATTACTTCATTTAAAAATAATATTTATTATGCAGCCAAATGTCAATTTGCCAGGTATTGTTCTTTCTACTGAGGATAAACACAAGGCCTTTGGGGCTTGCATTCCAGTGGGAGGAAACAGAATATAGACATGTAAGAAACTGTATACTCTGCTGGTAGATGTTATGAAGAAAAATAAATCAAGAAGTTGTAAGGAAAGGCTTCTCAAAGTGACATTGAAAGAAATGTCAGAAGGAAGAGAGAACATTCCTAGGAATAATCTAGGAAAAAGAAATAGTACAGATTTTGTAGATAAAGGGATGTTCTTGGCACAAAGGAAGGAGGTATACGAGGCTGGAGTAGCTCAATCCTTAAGGAAGACAGTGATTTTATATTTATTTTGATTTTTATCAATGGTTTGTAAATCTCTCCCCAGAGTAGGCCATAGAAACTAGAATTTTTCTTCCCCAACATGGATCATAAAACCTCTAATCTTCTGCCTCTCTGTCTTAGAACTGGTCATAAAGAAATTCTTTGACCTACCCTTGTCTGAAAGTTGTTGGTAAGACCTTCCTCATTCAAAAGGGGTCTTGTCCCATACCCTGGAGGAAGGAGTGCTGCACAGAGTGGCCAAGAAGAATGCTTAGCAGACAAACCAACCCCACTCCATCTGTTAGCATTAGATCACACCTCTTTTGTTGAGTTATGCTTCAGTCATGTTTGTGCAGTGAAGTCTCCAAAAAACAAGTTTCCATAAATAGTACACATTCCATAGAGCTTGTGACTAGCTGAACAAATGAAACTTCCTGGAGGTTGGCACATCTGGAGAGGACATGGAAGCTCTGAGCCTCTTCTCCCAAAGTTAGACCTTTACAGTTCATCTGTATCCTTTGTATATCCTTTGTAATATCCTTTGTAATCAACTAGTAAATTTAAGTGTTTTCCTGAGTTCTGCAAACTACTAGAGCAAATTAATCAAACATAGGAAGAGGTTATGAGAACCTGATTTATAGCTAATCAGTCTGAAGCAAAGATAAAACTGGGGCTTCAGACTGGTTTCTAAAGTGGATCAGGGAGCAAATAATCTTGGAACTGAGCTTCAACCTGTGGGACCTGATTCTATCTCTAGGTATAAGGTATTAGCATTGAATAGAGGACACCCAGCTGGTGTCCTCTACAACCAATCAATTAATTTTGCCACTACAAAATTAATTGATTGGTTGTCACAGGGGTCTGGGGAAGGATCTACTGTTGAAAGTAATCTGTATTGTGAATATATTAGGAGAAATAGTTTGAATTAGACTTTATTTTTCCTGAATGTAGCACTATTGACATATCTTGGGAAGGATAATTTTTTTGTCATAGGAATTGACTAGTGCATTGCAGGATGCTTTTGAGCATCCCTACCTTCTATCAACAAGGTGTTAGTAACCACCTCCTTTTAGTTGAGATAATCAAAAATACCTCTATTGTTGCCATATGTTAAAATCACCCTCAGTTGAGAACCTCTGATATAAAATAACCTGTCAAAGTGTTATCTGAGATAAAGAAAACGTTCTGTGTATGTACTGCCAAATAATAGTAGTCATCAGCTACTGATAGCTGTTGAGATCTTATAATGTGGCTAGTACAACTGAAGAACAGAACTTAAAGTCTTATTTGAATTTCAGTTAAATCATAATAGCCACATGTGGCTAGTGGCTATTGTATTGGATGATACTTATACTGTATTGTTTGTTGACACCAGTAGAAGATGAGTTCTGTGAAGCAAGGATGTTTGTTTTGTTCCAAAGACCGACACATAGTAGGTATGCAATGAATATTTGTTAAATAAATGAGTGAGTTGTAAAGTCACTTGAGGGTTTTAAGCTGAGGCATGGAGTAATCTGACTTATTTCAAAGAGGATCACACTTTGGTGGTGAGAAGAATAGAATGAAGGAAGGCAAGAGTGGAAGAGCCAAGCCCAGTGGCCCATACTATTCCAGCTATTCAGGAAGCTGAGGCAGGAAGACCATAAATTCAAGTTACACCTGGACAACTTAGTGAATTATAAAACAAAAAGGTCTAGGGATGTAGCTCAGTTATAGAACAACTGGGTTCAATCTCCAATACCACAATTTAAAAAAAGTAGAGGATAAGAGTCCTCCAATTAGGATACTACCATAGTAGTCCAGGTGAGAGAAGATGGTGGCTTGAGTGGAGGATGTCATAGGAATGACTACAAGATTTTAATTGGTTTGTACCACAAGCACAAACCATTTACTGAGAGAAGGAACACTGGACAAAGTATATTTTAATAGGAATACAGAATAATCAAGGTCAGGCTTGTGGAGCAATGGTGATACCTAAGAAAGATTGAATTAGTAAAGGTGGTGCAGGAGGAGGCTGAAGAATTACCTGCGAGGGAGAGCAGTAGTGAAAAATGCATAGAACAAAATGGCATGATGAGGACAGTTGCCGTTGTCAACATGACTGGAGCCAAAATTGGGACAGTAACCATAACAAGAGAAATTTAGCAAAATCATGACAAAAATCAGCACCATGCCCCTAACAGACTTAATTCTTATAACCTTGCAATTCTTTATGAACTTTTATAGATAAGGAAGTCTGATTTCAGTGGAATATCCTTAATTCCTTAGGTTTATACTATCATAAAACTATGGTGCTAGAATTTTAGTACAACAAATCTTATTGCCTGTTTGACTGTTTTCAGTAAACATTACACTGAATTCTTTCTTGAACAAAAATAAAAAATATTCTCCAAGTTTGAGCAGTTTGAGTTATTAGGTCTTACTAGTTAAATATCTATTCACCCAACTGTAGTTATTTAAGTACCAACTAATGGGAAAATTTGAATGTCTTAGAAACAGTTCCTGAGAAGGATCTTATTAATATAAGAGGAAACAGATTACTTTCTGGTGAAATAAAATTAACTATATTACTCTAGATCTGTGGTTTTCAAACCTTAGCTTACACAAGAATTACTTGGAAGACTTACTTGTTAAATGTCAGATTGGTTCTCAACCTGACCAATATTTAGCATTTCTAACAATTTCCCCAGTGATGCTGATTCTGCTGTTCCAGGGTCCACACTTTTATGAATCACTGCTAGTAGAAGATAATGAAATATCAGTCAGACAATGAAATATCTGTATCAGACTTTATTCTGACTCTGAAATTACTGATCCTCAGGCCATGCTAGCCCTTTCTATTTGCATATATTAGATTCACCCATATTCTATATTTGTAGGGAAACTTACATGGCAGAATGGAAATATGGTTTTAGGACACTTATGATTTTCATTCCCACCTCTCCATTTATTAACTGTGTAATTTTAGTTGGTCTTTGAGTCTTGGTGTCTGAAAAGCAGTGTTTATGTTTATGCTTGAGTTAACAAGCATAAATTATAGAGGTACTACTACATAGAAAGTAG